AGTTTTCTTAAATCTAAACCCTCTCTTCCACTCCAAAGATTCTACGCTCAAGGGATTCAAAAAACGCTAAGACTAGGGTTCTTCTTTCCAGATTTTCCTTCAAATTCTTCAAGAAGATGATCCATTCAGGTATTTAAGCTTCCATAATGTTGGGTTTGTTCACCCACATGCCAATCATGTTAATTTCATCTTTAAATTCGTTCTAAAAGTTGAAGCTTTGATGTTCTTGTTATGTATTCATGAATTTGCTTTCGTTCTTGAATTGGGCTGAGATTGAGGAGTTCTTGAGGTTAATGTGTCAATTTATAGAGGGGTTAGAGTAAGATTCTAGTGTTCATGTGTTGGGTATCTAAATCTAAAGAGAGATTGAGAAAAAGAATCGAAGTTAGGTGAATTGGGGTTAGAAAACGAAGAAGAAATTTCGTCGGTCGAAATTTGGAACCCCTTCCACGTCGCGCAACCTCTTTCCAAATTTGGGAATTTTTGTTTTGCGTTGAGGAGCTGACACAGAGTGTTCTGTCTCAAAAGTTGTTTTTGAAACCAAAATTTAAAAACCTCTCCGCGTTGCGGACCCACCTTCAAATATTGATTTTCAGTCTTTTCTCATGTTTAGATATTTAAAATCATTCCTAAACAACATGAGATCCTTCCAATCACAAATCTTAATCCTTGAATCCATAATTCAATTCAAGGATCAGTTAAGGGTCAAGTCAAGAGCAATTAAAATCAAAGTCAAGAGAAGTCAAGAATTAAGTCAAGATAAGTTCTTAATGTTTTTCAAAAGTCTTTCACAAATGTTTGTAACTTCGTTTTAAGACTGAAAGTTTCAAGTTAAGGAAAGAGTAAAAAGTTGAGTTTATTTCTCAAAAGCTATTAGGGAACTAAGTATTCCCAAAGAAGTTTTTAAATATTTTCACATTTAAATAAGAACAGAAACTGAGATTTTCAAAGAGCCTTGGGGCTAGTTTTCAGAAAAGAGAAATAACTTTCTAAATAAAGCAAGCAGGGAAACTAAGATTTCCAAGATAGCCTTTGAGCTAAGTTTTTGAGCACTAATCTCAAACCACAGAAGAAGTTATTTTTTTTATAAAAAAAAACATATGAACTACGTATATTTTTGGGAGTAGTATTGAGCACCGATATGGGACGCAAGTTCATATTAACTCAAGTCTCCATAACCATGTAGCCATCATGGGTGAAAAGGGTCATACATTTTAGATGAATCCTTTTCGCATAGACTAGTGGATCCACTTAGTGAGTTAGCTTCCTATATAACCGCAAGGTATAGGATGGACCTCGGCAGCGTGAGGTAAAATGATGTATCATCACTATAGTTCTTAAGTGATGGTTGTCGGTTAGAGAAACTCCCACAACAGTAGTAGCATGGTTCCTCAAGGGGTTCTGCTTAGTGTGAATGGGGGAATGAGACTTCATTCATGCATTGCACAAGTAGACTTTGAGAGGGAACGTGCTATATTTTTATGATATTATGACTATGATTTTGATGTCATGTTTTAAATAGTTTTACAAGCTTTATATATTGCATGTGTCTTATTGCTTTATATTTAGTTCAGTTATTCAAGAGTCGAGTGTCCTTGAGTTAAATATCTTTGAGTTGAGTATCTATCTTTTAGTTGAGTATATATCCTATGGTGAGCCTCCTTGTTTTCGGAGGATTTCATTTCCTTTTCAGTTTAGTCAGGATGTCGTGGGTCTTGTCCCGACTTCCATCATTATCAGTTAAGAGGCCTCATAGATAGTCAGTATAGTTGAGAAGTCTGTATTATTCATTTATTTTATTAAATGTTTTAAAGACTAAGTGCCTATTTTATGGCGAGTTGAATATATTATTTTATTCTAAGTTGTTCATTTGAGTTAGAGTTTTGAAAAGTTGAGTTTATTAAATTTTATTCAGTTTTAAGCTTTGTATGCTTGAGTTAGTCTTCCGCTTGTAGTCAGCCAAGATGAGGATTTGCTTGGGGACCAACAATGATCTTCGAGTGCCGGCCACGTCCAGGGTGTAGGCTTGGGTCGTGACATGTACCCTCAATGCATCTCCCAGTAGATTCTCACCTTGAACCTGAACATTCTCATTACCATCCCTAGGAGGCTGCAACTCAACTCCATCACCTAGATTTCCTCCTATAGGATTGGCTGGGACCCGTTGTGTATTCATCCTTCACAAAGTTTTGTTCAATTCTGAATTGTAAGGAATCAGTGGTTCACCTTGACTCCGTGTACTTGGCATACACTAGAGTAGGAACCCGAGAGAAACAAAAACAAAAGAAAAAGTAAAATTAGGAAATAATTGACTAAAGTTCAATAATGTAGTTAAACTTAATCTAAAAGCCTTATTCCCCGGCAGTGGCGCCAAAATTTGATACGCTCAAATTAGACATCCCTAAAGAAGTATAAGCGATCGTTATCAAGTAAAGAACCCAACTTGGAGGTTGGGGTCGATCCCACGAGGAATATGGTTTAGACTTAACTTACAAATAACTAATTGTTGTTTAGAGAGCAAGTTAGCAAGATTCAAACTTTAGTTGTTATCAATGGGAGAAAGAAACTAGGGTGTAAGTGTTCCCCATAAGCTTATAACGTAGTAATCCTAGTAATAGTAATCCTTTCCTAGTGTATTACATGCAAAGT